AGTGCTGAAAAGTTTTAATTAAAAACATTTTTTAATAACAAGCTTTTATGTAATAATGCACCAAAAAGTAGAAAATAAATTAAACACTACTATTTAAATAACTATAAAGAAAAGCGTTTGTCGCTTTCTAAATTTTAGTAAAGTTATCCAATAAATATTAAAGTGACCCACGCTTTTCTTTATAGTTATTTAAATAGTAGTGTATACTTTTTTTTACTTCTTAGTGCATTATTTTATAAAAGCTTGTAATTAAAACTTTTTTAATGTATTTTTTTTCTTCAGGCGTTGGTGAAGCTGTCACGCACATTTCATGAAAACAAAATATAAAAAATTCATAAAAAACGTTTTAATAACAAGCTTTTGTGTAATGATGCACTAAAAAGTAGAAAATAAATTATACACTACTATTTAAATTACTATAAAAATTTCAGTAGGCCTACTTTACATGTTTTATTTACAATAGTGTTACATGACAAAAAACCATTGCGCGTCTATTAAACGTAAAGGCGCAGCTATTAAACCTGATGGCGCAGCTATTGAACGTGATGACGCGTGTGGTGTGGTTGGATAGACATGCCTACTAATTCGGTCCAAATTTTAATTAATTCATAAAAAATTAATTAGGCATCCAAGTAAGTCAAATTTAGTTTCAGATTGCATTGTCTTCATGTCTTGACCCACGTACCAACTGTGAATCGTATCGGTCAAGTAGAAGTGTCCGAATTTTCGCTCGAGCGTTTCGATCTAGACAAATGACGATAGAGGAATTGAGTTAAATAAAATCTTGTAATAAAAGCTTGTAAAAAGAATAAACCATTGTAATATTTAAAAGATTTTTTTCGATTAGAAAAACTGCCCGTTGTTCAATCTTCGATGAAAAGAAAAAGAAAAGATAAGGTTTAAGTAATTTTTTTTCATTAAAAAATAACATTGAACATTACATTTAAAATGTTTTTTTAGCTTTAAAGAATGTGAGCATCAAAATAAGCATTTGTAAAGAAACTACTTTTATTTTACTGAAGGGCTAAAATTTTTTAAAGAACAAAGGATCAATGCAGGCAAAAAAAACAGTTTATTATTTTAATGGGTTAACAATTTCTACTACAAAAGCTTTATTATATTTTTTGGTAATATTACTAAAAAATTTAAAAAAAATAAAAATAAGATTTTTCCCTTAACAATATAAATTTTTCAGTGTAGATCGACGATTGATGGGATGATTTGTGCGCTACGTTGTTTGTGTTTGCGATGATCTGTGGGCCTGTGGATTGTGTGAGACTGTGTTAATCTGTGTTTTAAACTGTTTGTGTTTCTGTGTTGCTGTGTAGTAAATAATTGTGCGATCTTTTTGTAAAATTCATTTCATTCAAATTTAATACACATTTTTAATATGGCATTATGTTCTCAATACTGTAGGATGAATATGTATAATTAAAAAAATAATTCCTATTAAGGAAACTCTAAAACTAAGACCAATAAATAAACTACCAAGCTATATAGTACTTACAGGATTTAGTTTTTATTGTTTGTATCTGTCACAGACTGTATAATTAGGTATGTTTATATTATATTGTTTTACAAGAAGTTGCATGAATGTAGAGTACCTGGCTAGCTGAAGGACTGTCTGAGCGACTCGTCTTGTATTTTCCCATTCTTTTGGGTGAGATCGCTCATGTACGTAAGGGGAGAGAATGGACCGTATAAAAGGTAGAGCGAAAGGTGAACGGGGTGCTTGTGCTTGGACTGTGACTTTGAATGTAGGATGTCACTACGACACTTTGATTCGTGACTGTGATTGTACTTATACCAGTTGTGACTATGGATTTACTATGGATCTATTAATTCTCTGTATAAAGTGTAAATAAAGCTATAGTTGAAGCTACTACTATTGCTCGTGTGAGTTTATTAAACGTACCCACATTAACAACAATGAAGTTGATGTTGTTACAGTATCAATATCTTCCTGTACCGCATTTTAGACCTAGAGATACATAGGAAAGATATCCAATCTTGAGAATTTCAGGCTGGTAGCCTAACGCTCTATCATTCGACCACACCGTCCCTTAAGTTACAATTAAAAGTAAAATAAAAAAAAAAACTTTCCGACATATTAGTTCAGCTTATTTATTTGTGAAGCTATTATTAGATAAAGTATGCAATTCTTTAATGTATCGCATACGATAGAGTCTGATGTTTAAAAAAAAAAGCAAGTCTCAAGTTAAGGTTAAATAAGACTTAGGTTAAGATTATTAAAGTTGGTGTTCTGGCTAAAATTCAATGACGCCGGCAACATCAGCATACAAAAAGTACTCTAGTCTTGATAAAACAGTCGTATCTAGGCTTTGTTTATTCCCGAATGCATTTTAACCCAACATACACATTTTGAATATTTTTATTGGTTTTATGGACATCTGTTCTGTTTTAAGCTAACACATTTCGACTGTAGTTGGGTGAACCTTAGTTTTTTTTTTATTTTATTAAATAATATAGCCATAGTTTTTTTTTAAATGATGTACTATTAATTTTGAATTGGGAAAATACAGTTGATTATATTAACTAATTTTAAATGTTTTTCAATAAAAACTTTTAGGTCTTAAATCTTTGACATTATTTTTGTATATAGGGTCGCTTTTGTTAATTTTCTTGACGGACTTTTGTTAATACTATCTCTTGATACCCAAGCATATTTATCTATCAGTTTACATTATGCAAATTCGCCTTCATGAGTAATAAAACGAAAAGAATCATATACATATTGTTTATTTAATAAATGCATTTGAATTACAATTTCTTTTTCAACAATTTTACAAATGGCGTAGCAAGTGTTATGCAACATTTTTTTAAATTCTAAAACATCAAACTATAATATCCAACGTTGCTTAATCTTCTCATCAATTAAGTTTGCTGGAGCATTTTAAAACATTCTAAACTTGCTGTTACTATCATGACAAAAATCTTGCATTTTGAGTTTGTCTCATAAAAAAGATCATAACCTTTATGGACAAAAGCACTGGCAGAGAGGAAGTAAAAAACCGAAATCTAGATTTGTCAATTTGAAAACATCACGCTGTAAAATGTTTTTACTTAGCATGCAGATCACTTGATAGATGTGACACAGAAGAAAATGTATATTCTTTCTCATTGATACTTTCTAATTTCTTGTTTACAGATTATAGAGGAAGTATGGTAATCGTGCACAAAAATCACATGAAATGTTGACAGTTTTCATCGTTTTACACCTCAGTACTATACGGAGTATGGGGGGGGGGGGCTTATTTTAATCGGGCAAAAATAATAAATGTAGATGTATCAAAATGTGGGTGTTCTATGCGTAATCAAGTCAGAAAACTGGGCTTTGCAATTCTGTCCATATGTTTGTGTGTGTGTGTATGTCTGTGAACGCGTTAATTTGAGTACCGTTACAGTAGGTTGATAAAATTTCATATTATAGTATTATATCAAATTTGTAGTCAACTTATCAGCGATTTCCGATCACCGAAAGTGGCACTTTTAGTTTTTCAAAAGCCTATAACTTGAGTATTGTTTCAGATACATAACATACACGGCATATATAAGTAAAAGATCTAATTTTCTGCCTTCTATCAAATTTTGAGTAATTTCTCTTGACCGGAAGTAGTAGTCTACGCTATTTCCGATTTCTCAAAAAAATATGTATGAATATATAAAATACTAATAATATTCCGCACTATTATTCACAGTTTGTATGGCGTTCACTTGGTGCGCAATTCTTTTTTCTACGAGATGATATTCTATTTAAAAATTTTAATTAATTAAAAATTGATTAAAAAGCATGTCTATATCCCGAGTTTCCATCCCCGTTAGTATTATATAAGAATATTCGATAAAGTTTAGGGGAGATTACTCCCGGTTTCAGAAAATGTATTAAACACGCTAAACGTAATTCTGTTCTTATCATAATGTTCAGGCTGAGTGGTTTCAAGATTTCCCACTTGTCTCGCGAAACATTAACATCTGTTGAGTAGGCCCTGCTTAAAAATTGCATTCAAGAGCACAAGTTGTTTTGTTGATTTTGACACTTCAAACAATTTTTTATCTCTCACGTCCAGACTCCACTGTATAGCGTCCCTGTTGTTTACATTAGTATTTACATTAAATTAACTGTAAAATAATCTATATTTATTTATTGTAATAGTTTAAACCATTTTTTTTCTGTTCGTAATCAACGGGTTGGTAGGCAGTAAAGAATCGGGAGTAATTAAAACAGACGGGAGATATTGACAGGAGTCATTGCCTATTCCCTGTGGGTATATTTACCAATAGGCAAAACTTAAAATTACCGCTTTATTAAATAAATGGGAGAAAAGGGAGGTAGAGGCATATTGAGTAAAATTACTTGATTTGTGAAGCACTCATTCTATAATCTTGAATCATTAAAGATGATAAATCAAGGTATCTAAATAAAACATATAACCTCTTCGTGCAAAAAGATATTCCAATAATTTTACAGAAAAAAATGTAACACATATAATTCTTTAAACATACATTGTCAAACAAAGAACACAAAAAAGTAATATTAGGAGAAAAATGTTTGAAAAAAGAAAGCTCGACAGAACAACCGCGAAGAAAATAAGTAGAAAATAAACGTACATACAAAATCGTTATATATATAAAGTTAAGAAAAATAAACTACATGCATTATGATTTTATAATTGGAAGCGGATTCAAAACTAAAACAAAAACATTGTTCTTGACCAATTTTGCTCTACTAAATTGTTGAAGCTGAATAAAACGTACGAATGGTAACATTGTATTCGGTAGACAATTAGTAACCAAAACAGACAGTGTTAGTTTTTCGATAGATATGGTTAAACTTACATTCTCTCATAATTTATTGTTAACAAAACAAGTGGTGAATTTCATCATTTTAAAACTACTCTGCAAAAGCTATACATAAAGATTCATTGCAAAAACAAATCAAGTTTTAATATATAGCAATCAGATTAGGAATAGATATCAAACTACTTATCATTTCTAATAGCATGACCCAGAAGTGTCCAGAAAGTCTGGTTATTTCTGTAGACCAGACACCTGTACAGCTGATTCCTTAAATAAGTTTCTACTTCAGGTGGGTATGTATTCAAGTCGACCCTCTCAACAAAGACAGGAACGATAACCTGACCTCGTACATTGAACTCTCGCATGATGGCCAGGTTCATCTCATACTCTCGGTAGTGATCCAAGAAAAGATCTTCAGACAACAAGACCAGCGTTTTTCTTGTGCCAGTTATAGCTCCACTGATGTGTGACACCATGTCCCCACCTGGAAAGTCCACTTCTCCTAAAATGTAAGAGATGTTCTTCTCTCTCATGAATGGTATGATCATATTTCCTACAATCTGTCGGATTCTAGGCTCACCCTAAGGAATTAATAAAATATTGAATGAAAAACAACTCATTAGGTGTTTCACACATAATGCGCAACTAGTGTAAATATATTATTGTAAATTTATTTTTAAAAGTATTAAATCATGCGTAATTAACGAATCATTTAATTTAAGTAGCTATACAAATTTATTTGAATTAATGTAAATTTGAAACAATTTACTTTTTTATTTAGTTTTAATAATAAGTAAATTTATCTGAGGAATTAATTTTACATGCATTTTACCTCATCATAGGTAATGAAGACATCAACCTGTGGGTTGTAGTTGACTAAACGTCCACCGATGTGCAGCCTCCGTTGACCAATAAAGTAGAGGTACCTCAGCTTCCAGCGGTAATGGAAAAACACGGCCAGAACAAGCAAACACATGAGGTGGATGAAAAATATCGTCAACACAAAGCTGAAGATTTCTTTTATCTGACAGTTTTGTGTCAGTCTTGGAAGTTGTGCAACCATCTCCATGTAGTTTAAATAAGTATTGTCTTCCTTTCTGAACATCATTTCGTCTACGGTCTCAAACAATTGTGTGTTGGTCACCAAGAAATGCAGACTTTGAACGTACGTGCAGATAAATTGAAACTTATTATTAGATAAATCTACTAGAAATTGTGGATTATCAAATTTTAATCTCTTTAGCTCTTCACGCATTTCATCCGATAGACCAGGTAAACGGTTAGATGACAAATCTAAATATGTCATGTTCAAATGTCTTAGTGTGTATGCCTCGAAAAACGTCAATCGATTTTTACTTAAATATAATCTTTTAAGATTTTTCGGAAAATAAAATGTGCTTGATATAAAATCTATTTTACAATCATTCATCCTTAGTTCTTCGAGCTTCGCCAAATCTGTTCTTAGCCAGCCGTCGTCTAAATCGGATCCACATAGTCTATTACCGCTAGAGCCTGACAGTTCTAGAACACGAAGATTTTTCATCCCTTCAAATGTGTTAGAACCTAGGCTATTGTAAGAAACGTACAACTCTTTCAAATTAGATAATCCATTAAACTTAGAATAAACTTGGTTTTCTTTAGTCTTGTTCTGTTGTAATCTGTAAGAAATATTTTTTACTATAAACAATAAAACAGATAGGTGTGTAAGAAGAGGATGAATATATAGTTTACCATGTATTACTTACAATACAACATTCTGTTTCCAGGGTAGTCTTTTAAAATGTAATCTTGTGAGCGAGTTTTCTGGCGAATATCTCAGGGCATTAACGAAGTTATTTACAAGATACTTATAGGCATCTGTAATCAGTGTTTTCAACGTTGGAGGGACTCTTAAATATTTAGTGTCTTGATCGAACATAACTTTATTTCCAGCAATTGATAAATTTTTTATTTGAGTTTCCATAAATAATTCCAAAACATCTTCTAAAGAAACCGTGTAAGATGATTCCTGAGTCACTTTTTCTATCGAAAACTCCTGCACGTTTTTGAACTGTTGGAATGAGTCAAAAATTTGTTCTAAAGTTAGTTGTGTTTCATCAAGGTTCAGCCCTGACAACGTTGATCCCATCACAAAAGATGTGTTGGTGAAGCTTGAGAGTGGGCAGCCTGCCAACGAAATAGATATATTTTGCTCTGATTGTATGTTTTCAAAATAATTATCACATAAGTGAGTCAGAAAGCAATGGTTGTTTTCGTCGAAGATTATTGTTTGAAGACGTTTTAGCTTTCGAAATCCGGGACCCAATTTACAGTTAGTACCGGGTATTGATAGCTCTCTCAAGTTTGTCAACACTGACAGCGCCTTGTCGGGTAAACAGAAACAAGGGGCGCTCTTGTTGTAATTGGTTGAATCTGGAATGTAAAATATTAATTGGACTTTAAGGCTTTACTGGTTCTGAATTCAATCTGCAACTACAGTAGGTTCGATAGCTAATGCATACTGCAATATCTAGAATAATACTGTTAAAGTTTAAGCTTTTTATATAATTTTTTTTCCAATTGTAGGAGATTGAAATCATTTGGACACTTGCCCGAATGCGACAAATGCCCGAAAGCCACTTGCCCGCAGGCCGTTTGCCCGAAAAAAATTTAAATATTATAGATTATCCAGAGGACATTCTAAATAAATTTGATTAACCATTTAGATCATTCTTAACAAACTTCTAACAGATCTAAGCAGAATTGCTCTAAACAGAAGTTTGTTTATATTTTTTTAAATGATACACTATTATTTAAATTTCTATAAAGAAAAGCGGGGTCTCTTCCAAAAGATTAGTAAAGGTATCTTATAGATCAGTGGTTCCCAAACATTTTCGAGTGGCGACCCCCTTTTATAAAAAGTAAGTTACCCGCGACCCCCATAAAATTAAAAAGCCGAAATTAGTATGGAAATTAATAAGCACTAAAATAAGATTTTCTAGAAGGCATTCAATATGAAATACTCTTGATAACTATTTTAATAATTTGAGTAAAATTGCATGCTATTTAGTAAACATTCACGGATTAATTATTGTTAACGGCAATGAATGTTAATGTCATTATCAACATTCAATTTATTTCTTATTTTGGTTTTTTATCGGAGAATAGTGTTGAAAATCTATTCTCGAAAAGTCAATCAATTTTACGTTTGGGTATGAATGGTGAATACAACACCAAAATTGTGTGTGTAGTTTTTCATCTTACGCGGAATCATTCTGCAAATCAAATAATTCATCTTGTAATTCATCGGGAATGCTGGCAACATCAAGGGAAGTAGAGAATGGGTAATGCGTCAATGCAGATTCTTCTTCTATCAGCTCAGAGAAATAGCGCCGCAGTTCGTTTTCAAGAGATTCAACATGCCCAGAAATCGCTTCTTTCAAAATTTTAATTATCTCACAATCAGATCCATCTACCACACTGTAGAGTTTCTCAAATTTACAATATTTCCAAGATTTATTTTCTTTGCCAATTTTGCAGCTTTGATAAAAATGCCCCGAGATTTTCATCGAAAGTGATAATATTCGTTCATTTTCCCTGAAGCTTCAGGTTAAGCTTATGTTGATGTTCGAATATATCTGTTAGGTATGATACTCTCTCCAACCAATCTATGTCGTTTTAAGTATACCGAAAGGTATTTTTTTTGCTTTGCTCTTCCAAGAACAATTTGATTTCAGATTTCAATTAAAAAATGCGATTCACAACAATTCTTTTAACTGCCAGCGTAATGTAGTGTAGAAAAGCAGAACCTCGTGATCTTTATTAATGCCTTTGCTCAGTTCTTTGAATGCTCCAGATTAAATATAATGTACGATTGTTTCTAGCAATGGAGTCGGAGGCGTCTTGATGGCGAGGGCATACTGGTAAATCATGCAGTGGTGAACGCTTGATTTCATTAAAATTTGTTATTTAACATCTACGGACATGTCTGATATAAGCCGCTAAATAGTATTATTAGGCAGAGATATTTTGTTGCATCTTTACTGCACTGGAATCCCCAAGAATTAACTTCACCATCTTCAATATGCAGAGGTTGATGAGATTTTCTCCTATTGTGTTATTTTTGCTTGGCAATTTCTAGCGCGACTTCATTTGATGCTTGCACTAATGCTGTGTTTCCTTGGTGAAAACTTCCTGTTCGATCAAGTCTCTGACGTTCACAACTAGCTTTATTGTAACGAAAAAACTCCATATCTTTTTTTGGTTTTCCGAATGACTCGTCTTAAATGACGTTTTAGTTTTTAAGATTTCACAAACTCGTGACTGAGAACAACTTTGTACAGTGCGCTTTGATTATTCACTATTTCATTTCCAGTGATGTTAGTAAAGCCAAATTTCAGATATTCTTCCAAATATTAATGTTTTGTTTCTCATTACTAAGGTTTAGTATACCAGTCGGCGCCCCATAGAAAGCCGTTCGCTATAGAAAATATATTGATTTTCGCTTTTCTTTATTATAGTTTAGATAGTAGTGTATTATTATATATTTCAACCATTTATAACTGACCGAATCGTTTCAAAATTGGCCCGTGGGTTAAGACTAGATGACAATGCAATATAACATCAAGTTTTACTTAATTGGATGCCAACTTAATTTTTAAAGAATTAATTAATGTTTCTTACATAAAGTATTATTGTACACACATTTGTTCTGTTCATTCGGTCCGCAATTGCTTTTAGTTATGCAACTCTATTGTATTAAAATTTTTAATGTACCTGGATATTTTCAATGAGATTTTTTTAATAACTAGTTTTTATATAAGTTATGCACTAAAAATGTTTTTCTAAGGGGGTAAGCTCCAGAAAAAACCAACTTCTTAATTAAAAGCTTTTATTGATTCATTTGTGCATATCTAAGTTAGGGTACTTGTAGGAAAATATTTACATGCATCAGGGACTCTTTTGAAAATATGGTTGTCATGGCAACGGCGGCCATCTTGAAAAAAACATCCTTTTCTGGAGTTCTAAAATTTCATAAACTAACATAAATATCGGCTATAAAACCATTGATCCTTCTTTTGACTCTCAAAAAAACGGGGGAAAAACTTTTTAATTAAAAAGCCTTTTACATTTATTTGTGTATGTATAAGTTAGGGTACTTCAGTAAAAATATTTGGATGTACCAGGGACTCTTCTGACGAAATTCCAATGAAAATAATGCTAAATTCAATGGAATTTCACCAAATGTTTTTTTGAAAATTTGAAAAAAATATGTCTAGCTGTTTTTCGGTTACAAAAATTAGCCAGCTGGCTCTATTGGTGTTAGTACAATAAAGATCAATGATTATATGGGCGGTTTATATGTTACTTTAGGAAATTTTAGAACTCCACATTGGTAGTTTTTTCCAAGATGGCCGCCGTTTCCATGGCAACCATATTTTCAGAAGAGTCCCTGGTACATCCAAATATTTTTACTTAAGTACCCTAACTTATACATACACAAATAAATGTAAAAGGCTTTTTAATTAAAAAGTTTTTTCCCCGTTTTTTTCGGGAGCCTATCCCCTTAAATGTATGACAATGAACCACTATTTAAATAACTATAAAGAAAAGCGTGGGACGCTGTTATGCATTGAATGCATATAATTTACTAAAATTTAAGAAGCTACCCGCATTTTTATTTCTAGTTATTTAAAAAGTAGCTTATTATTATATTTAAAGCAAATCGTTTATTTTCTGGTTTTTAGTGCATAATTATACAAAAGCTTGTTATTCAAATGTTTTTACAAGCTTTTATTTGACTTGCTACCTTTGTAAGTAATCATAGATCAAAACTGCCAAGCGAAATTTCGAGCACTTCTAACCGACCGATTCGTTTCAAACAGGCACGATGGTCAAGACATGATGACAATGAAATCTGACATCAAATATTAACTTAATTGGAAGCTTAATTTATCTTGTATGAATAAATTAAATTTTCCTATTTAAAGTACTATTTACCGCGCATTTTTCATATTCATTTGGTGTTAGTTTTAAAAAAAAAACTAGTAAAAATTGTATGTTCTGCAGCACCCAGTCTTAAGGGAGATCATATTCTAATAAAGATTTTTCTTTAAAAAAAATTCCTATATGTGTTTTCTAAAAAAAGAGCGTTTTTTGTCATAACTTATTTTCTGAAGCTTAATTGCGTTGAAAGTGCAATTACCCCTACTGTTACATACGAATATATAACAAAGTTTAGGGGAGATCACTTCCGCTATATTTGCTCTAGCAACAGAAAAAAATCAAAATTATCGTGGTACTTTTAGTGAAACTACTGCTGACAAA